CATCTTTGTATGTAATTTTGACCTTGTGTGTGTTGTGGCATGGGGTGTTGATATGGTTCTGCTCTGAACCTCCCCCTGCGATTCTCGTACATTTTTGGCCCAGTGTTACTCCCATTTGGGTGCCAAATTTTTCCTGGATTGTTACTTTGACATCTTTGTGAGTAATTTTGACCTTGCGTATGTCGGGGCATGGGGTGCTGATATAATTCTGCCCTTGGTCTCCACATTCTGCGATTCTCCTGAATGTTCGGCTTTGTGCCGCTCTCATTCTCGTGCCAACCTCTCTCTGGGTTATTTTGCCACAGGTGCGTGCGTGTTTGCTCCTCCCTGCATTGTGGGACTGCTCCGTGATTTTTATTTCTGAGAGGCTGGGTTCCTTATCCCTCTCCGTGTTCTGGATCCGAATTATGATTCTTAGCTCTGTATAACCATGCCATGTACGCCTTGCTCTCTATGCGGCGTAAGGATGCGGTTTCCGGATTCAAAAACATTCTCATCCTTTCTGTAATCTCTGGGCTCAAGGATTCAAAAAACATAATTTTGAACATGTGATCACCTTTGTGGTATCGATTCACATCGCCTGCGTAATACGCTCTTTTAAATTGTAAAAGGTAGTCACGTGGGTCTTGGTCCATGCCCTGGGTCATCGATTTTACAGCATAAAACCCCTCGGTGAGTGTCGAATATTCTCCAAACTTCTGAACCACTGCCAGGCTCAGTTGTTTAAAATCACTTCTAACCTGGTATGGTAGTGACTTTACCCATGGTATAGATTCTCTATGTAAGCTTCGTTTCAACAAACTCGCTTTTTCATCCCGTCTCATCAGCCCTCTAATCATTGCCTCCTCTTCTACTGTTGCGATATGTGTATGTATATCCATGGACTTATTGTGTGGGTCAAAATCGGGAATTCTGACTAGAGCTTTGTCCATTAATTTAAGGGTTTTACTGTTGAATAGGTATTCCGAAAGTTGATCGCCATCAGCGTCATCATCAAACAAGTTATCATCAGGCAATCTGTCACTTTCATCTGTGCTGTGTCGGGCGTGTTTCAGCGGCGTGCATTTTTTTTGTGTGCGCTCTGTGCCGTGTCGCTCGTGTTGCCATTTCCCTTCAGTTTTTGCCTCTGCCCTGAGTGAAGCATGTCCTGGCGACTTTACTTTAACTTTTGTGCGATCAGTCCCTGGACTCTGTCCACATACCCAAGAGTGTGATTTAATGTTACTTCCATATTTATTCTGTGGATCAACGTCTGTGAGTTTCGCTGGTGTCGCGAGCACTGATTTCTCCTCCCTCTCGAGGGTGTGAGGACATTTCTCCTCGTTTATTAGAGACGATTTCTCTCCCGTTTCCTTTCCAAATTTTTCCTCATTCCACAATCCCTGTCTGTATGCCTGTGTGGGAAGGCATGAGTCCTGTCCTGCCTTCTCTGCAGTTTTTGCATCGTGTTCGCCTTCGTTACATTTTATCCAGTCAATTAGTTTCCCCCGAGGTGTGTTTGTGTTATCGATACAGCTCCCTTCCCATATGTCTCTCTGACTGTACTGCTTTGTAACAGATCGGTCGGTACGTTTTAATACGAGCTCCCAGTACCCCGTAATCCATTCAAAAATTATTCTTAATCCTAGCATCTCAAGTGTGGCAGGAGTTACTTTGACATTTCCTTTCAGAGTGCATGTAAAACAATTATCTCACAGAGTGTAGTCAATTTGACTCGAGCTATTCTGTTATTTTCCGATTCAGAGTGCGTACCTCTAACACCATTTATCACAGGATGCAATCGGTTTGATACGATATTATCTTAATTCCACTGTCTTTGTTTCAACCTGCTATTCTGGGTTTTAACCTCAGAGGGCGTTTTTTTGTCTTTGTTTTACGCCCGTTTACAATCACAATGCAATGTTTGATCCCGATATTCTGGTTAACACGTAGTGATTCATTCCATCATCCATGCAAAACACTGTCTGCGAGAGATCCCGGACGAACCCCCATTATGTTGTTTTTGTTGGATTTATGAAATTTTGATAAAAATAATAAAAATTAATAATTTTCAGAAAAATGCACAAATCGCATTAATTATGTTAATGTGTGTATTAACATGCATACATTATGATAATGTGCGTAATTATATGCATAAATTATTATAATCGTAGTAATTTATGCGGATGCTTGCGATTATGTTAATGTGAGCAGTTATGATAATTAGGCTTAGTTTCGTTGATCCAGAGTTGTATCAATCAGGGTAACACGATTATCATTGATTAAACATTTACTGATTATCTTAGTGTGTTTATGTTATTTTAGGTCTCCAGTTTCAGATCTCATCACAGGATACAGTTCTCAAGAATAAGACAGTTTTGCATGGACTTGGAAGAAACACTCGAGACTTGGTGTTAAGCAATTTTAATTCTAAACAAACACATGACACTCTCTTATGCAAAAGCAAGTATACGTCAATAAATTAATGGGCAAGATTATGCAATTAACGAAATTGAATGACTAAAACATTCCTTATTCATGTAACTCGATGGCAGCAACTGCTTTGCACGATCAGTTGGTAGTGAACGCACCACCTCGAAATGGCAACCCTTTTTGAAACGCAAAGATAATTTTTTTGAAAGTCTTATTCGTGTGCGTGCTGTGTGTGCGTTGTCCCCTTGTAAAATTAATTAATTCTTAGAGCCGGGAGTTGTGTCGTTAGCTTGTGTGGTGTGGGAGGATACAAACAGCGGCCAGAGGTTTTCTCTGGGTTGGGCGTGGCCGCAGCGAGTCGTGCTGCTCCCTCGCTCGGGCGTGTCTCTGCTTGTGCGCTCTCTCTCTCTCCACTGCTCGATTGAGTTTGCACAACGCTCGCCGACGTGGTGCGCGATGATTCCGTCGCCGAATAGCGCGCAGCTCCTCCACGAGTCGGCACGACGCTCGGTGACGTCCGAGTCGTGCTGCTCTTGCGCTCTCTCTCTCCCTCTACTGCTAGATGACGAGTTAGCACGACGCTCGGTGACGCCCGGGTCGTGCTGTTCTTGTCGCTCTCTCCTTGATCGCTGCCAACTTCACACGGACACTCGCCCTTGGTTCAGGCTGTGTTGGCTTGTGGCTCTGGACGACGCGGCTGTGCTCACTGGGTGGTGGTCGGTCTGAGTATCAAACACACTGCGCATTCGATGGCGCTTTCTCTCTCTTGGTGGCAGCCCCCGGCTTCTCCACTGCTCGATTGATTGTTGAGTCGGCACGATGCTCGCCGTCGCTCTGGACGTCTGGTCTGTTCTCACTGGGTCGTTGGTCGGTGTGTGCCTCAAACACACTGCGCATTCGATGGCGCTGTCCTCTTCCTCACAGCCGTTTGACCAGGCTTTCTCCACTGCTTCGCGCTCTCTGCTTTGCTCGCTTGATCGACGCTCGGCGATTTCCGCCCTTTTACAGGTTGATTGCTTGTCGTCACTCGTCACTCTCTCTTCTCCGTGCTTTCCTTGTTCATGCAGCTGCCAGCTTCACTCGCACTTAACTTCGTTCTGCGAGAAGCGACACCTGCTATCGGCATCGGTGTTTCGTTTCCTCACGACGCTCCTCCAGCCGGAGCACGGCTGAAACCCAGCCTCGACCCAGGTTGAACTCAGACTTCTGTGACTTGAATGACCCCTCCTCGTTCCATCACTTCTCGAGGCATGACGCGCCCCAGCTCCCTTGCGAGCCCCGTCACAACGCTGCGTCGCAAGCCGAGTTGCAAGACTGAGCACGCCTCGGACAGACTGCTCTCAGGCTTCCACTTTAACGATGTCTCGTCGTCCCATCTCTTCTCGAGGCACGACTGCCACAGCTCCCTTGCGAGCCCAGTCGCAACGCTGAGCGCGACTCGGACAGACTGCCTGTTCGCTATATGCGCTTGTGCTTAACTCAAAAAAGTGACTCCCCTCTCTGCGCATTCCTTGCGAGCGGGCAACAAAACACAAACAGAGCGAGAAGAAGCAGACACCCCCGCGACCCCTCCTCGCGACCTTTCCTAACCCTCCAAGCATTCATGGGCCATCTGTTTGTGCTGCGAGGAGACAAAGACGGCCGTGTTTAACTCAAAAACGTGAGCACCCTCTCCTCTCTCCGCGTCTCTTGCGAGAGAAAACAAACAGAAAAAAAACAGATGTTCTCGAATGTCAGCACAAACTCCCCCCCTTGTGACCTTTCTGCTCCCTTCTTGCTTGCCGGACCGTTGGAGACAAAGGTGGCTGAGGAGATTTTTGCAATACATTTATGTGGTCCTGTGTGTTACATTTATTCTTGAGTTTTATTTTAATGTCCTGAGGATAAGTGCAACTAAGTTTCCACTTACGCTTCCTTAACTGTTGGAATTCGTAATTATTTTTTTTTTTGGTCAGGTAGATAGAAACATACAATACAAAATTATATATATATGGTGAATACGAGTAATACAAGGGAATTATTAATAAAAAGCCCCTATTGTTTGTTGGTTACTCTTTTTGTTAAGTTTCTACTTTTCGGTACGGAAAACATTTAAGGAAAATGCGAGTTGCAAAAATTGTTGTATCTATGCTCTGCACCCTATCTGTACATCTCCAGATGTCTTGGGAGGTTAGTCCATTCATCTTTTTGTCCATCTGGATGTCTATGACCTCTCTGTGACCGAATTCTTATCGTCATAGATTCCTGGTGTGCTTGTGAGGAGAAGTGGGTTGTTTCCATTATTTAAAAAAAAAATATATATAGATATAATAAAAAATATATATATAAAAAATTTTTTTGAATTGTTCTTAATAAAAAAAGGGTATAGACACAACAACTGGATGGCCGGGTTTTGTGAATTGAGATGTATTACTGCTTCAGCAGCACCGACAGAAATCCACAGCCATTAGGCTCGACATCTCGCCGGCAGTTACAACAATTGTTATCAGGCAATTGCCACAATTGTTTGACAAATAAAATTGACAAAAGCTTTTCCCTTGGCGCCCCTTGTCAATGCAGCCAATCGTGAAACTTGTGGGATGTCAAACCTGTCTGTCCATGACTCCCATGAGCAGCTGGTGCAGGGTCTGCAAGCAGGCCCTCTCCATGCGGTACGTCTCAGCAAAGTCGACACTTCTCTGCTCGAAACGTGGCCGCTGGTGGACCGTGTCGGCGATGATCTGAGCCAGCGCCACCCTCTCCTCTCCGTCCAGGGAGTGCTCATATGCTTGGAAGTAGCAGTCCACCAGCTGACACACACACACACAACACCGAGAGTATCTTTACATCCAAGCGCACATAGGTGTGCGGACCACTTGAGATGACCGCACACAATACTATGGCTGCAAGTTTGGTCGTACATGTTATGTATATCGTTTATTGTTAAAATTGAATCACAGTTCCTATGATTACTGTTGTTACATTGTTTTTATAGCTTTATTTTGGTGATTTTGAAAACATATGGTTAAGCCATGTTTCTTGCGGAAGTGCGGAGTTGACCTGATAAATTGTCTTCTTCTTGGTTCTTTCTGTAAAGTCACGTAGAAGGGAAGTAATAAAATAAAAAAACATAATAAAATAATTCTCACGACGTTTCGCAAGCAGCCGTCCTCAGGTGAGGACGGCTGCTTGCGTTGTGGCCGAAACATCGTGATAATTATTTTATTATGTTTTATTTTTATTATTTTATTACTTCCCTTCTACGTGACTTTACCGAAAGAACCAAGAAGATGAATCCCTGCAGTCACGAAAGCTTTAAATCGAAATCTAAATTGTCTTATGGTTGCTATTGTTTGACTTGCATCACACTGGGATTTTTGCACACAGCGTTGTAATACGGTTTTGTTTTGTTTAGGAAAATTAGCTGGTTTATCCCTGATGTTTCTGTTGCGCGTCGTCGCTTTAAGAGCTGCATGGCTCACAGGGCTATACGTAATAAATGAAACTTGAACTTGAAACTTGAATACTAGAAAACCCTTTGACCGGACAATAAAACTTGATCAGCTCTCACATACCGGCGCAAAAGCAGCACAGATCAGAAAACCCCAACTAGGCCAGTTCACACAGACCCTGCCATAACCATCAGCAGTGGACCACATTCACAGCTGAATACAAACCTAGGAACCTGTAAACAATTTCAACAAGAGTCACTGTTGGAATATTTCAATGAAATGACAAATGTGATTCAATTTTCATGATTCAACTCAGTGTCACCACTCAATTCAATTGTTGATTTTTTTTCATTGTGCTGAATGGTCGTGCCTCTAGTGACTACAGCAGTGGTGAATTGAACCCAATTCAGACAGGATATAACCATAAGAGTTTTTTTGGTTAGATCACGATCTAACCCAAAAAAACTCTATTATGGATGATATTGGTCGCGAAAGCCTATGTGTTAAAAAGGATATAACTATTGAAAAACGTTGTTATACAGCAAATTTGATACATTGCTTATGTTGAGCTTAAGAACCGATATTATCAGCCGAGCGGTGGTGGCTATGTACGTGGCCTGTAATGCTGCACTGTGGAGGCAGCGAGGGTTGGTGGATCATACAAAAGTCGTGATAACTCCCTTCCTGTGGGCGTCAAGAAGGAGCCATGCTCTGGCTTGCCAAGAAAAGTCAGTACAGCTAAACTGTGGGCTCCATCTGTTGCGTCTGTCTGGAATTGAGTGTTTCCTCCTCGCCGACGTGGTTCTTCGCCCGGTTCTCTGGTTTCCTCCCATGTATAAACACTCATTAATTGACCAATAACAACTTCATATAACAGACGACCGCAGA